ATGTGGCACCTTAAAGGATGTTGTCCACAGAACCTTGATAGTTTTTCCAGAATATAAGATCTCTTTAAATGACTTTGAGATCTAATATATCATTGGAAAAGAATAATGACAAATAAACAATTCACTGCTGTATTTGAAAATCAGTAACCAAAGTATTGTAGCACTGTGATTTTAAAAGTCTGTTTTTAGACAAAAGTATCTGGAAAATTGAAAATGGTGTAACTGATTTTTAGTGTCAAGACTGAAAAAAATGAAAAATATGACCCCACTAAACACAGAATCACAGAATGGTTAAGGTCGGAGGGGACCTCTAGAGATCATCTAGTCCAAACCTTCCTGCTCAAGCAGGAACACTAAAGCACGTGGCACAGGGTGGTGTCCAGGTGAATTTTGAAGATCTCCAGAGAAGGAGACTCCACAACCTCTCTGGGCAGCTTCTTCCAGGGCTCTGTCACCCTCACAGTCAAGAAGTTCTTCCTTACATGGAGATGGAACTCCCTGTGTTTCAACTCATACCCATCAAGCCTTGTCATGTCACTGGCCACCAGCGAGAAGAATGTGGCCTCGTCCTCCCTACATTCTCCTCTCAGGTACTCCCCTCATATTGATCAGATCTCCTCTCAATCTTCTCTTCTCTAGGCTAAACAGGCCCAGCTCACTTAGTCTTTCCTCATAAGACAGATGCTCCAGTCCCTTAATCTTCCTCGTGGCTCTACGCTGGACCCTCTCTAGAAGCTCCACATTCTTGGCCAGAAGGGCACATTGCTGCCTCATGGGCAACTTGTTGTCAACCGGGACTCCCAAATTCCTCTCCACAGAGCTGCTTTCCACCAGGTCAACCCCTAAACTGTCCTGGTGCCTGGGGTTATTCCTCCCCAGGTGCAGGACCATGCACTTGTCCTTGCTGAACCTCATGAGGTTCCTCTCTGCCCAGCTCTGCCATGAAAACATCCAACCCTAAGCTCTCTTTCTGCTTTCACAGAACAGAGAGACCTGAAGTCTTTGTTTCTTTTTACTGTGACCTGCAACTACTAGCCTACCTTTTAGAGAATCCTTGCCTCCCCACCTTTTTTTTTTAATCTCTGATATACTCTCCTGTCAAAACTTTCACTCAATACAAAGACAGAGATTTTTCTCTATCCTCAGCAGAAGGGTGCCCCCATTGTACACTGTCTCCAAACCAAGACGGTGATACAATCCAAATCCAAGTACCAGCACATTATAAATGGATGCAGGCAAGGATGGATGGCTGCTCTGAAAACCTCTTGGGAGTCTTAGCACTGCCTTGACAGCCCAGGAAATCATGGCTGAGAGAGATGCAAGCAGACATTCACTTACACATGGCTGGTAGGAAACACACACATCGTATTCACAGGAAATAAACACTGTAAGCAATTTTTCAGTGGTCTTTAGAGAACTAAACAGCTCTTTTCTGTGGAAGTTTTGGAAAGAGACTTCAGAGAAAATAAGATACAGCATGACTGCAGAGAGGCTGATAAGCTCCACAGCATGTAATATTAAGCTACCTTTAACTTTCCATTACTTCAGTGACTCCAAAACAACACAGCTCTCCCTGTTAAATGCATGACTGCTGTGAAACTGATCATTATTATGATAATTTCTGACCTTATCATTTCAGCAACTTGTATCTATGTATTTTTAATCAGCAAACATAAAGATAGGGTCAGCTTTATTGTCAAATTTCTTCTATCTTGCCTTTGACCTAATCGGATCAATCTGCAGCTTGAACTTAGTCTAGCTCTGAGTTAATGGGATATAACGATCTTCAGCATTTGTGAGGATCTTCAGCATTTGTGAGGCATTACTCACTCATATTACTTTTCAGGCAATCAGAGCTCTCACAAAAAAAAGGGAGAATCAGAGACATTCACTCCACTTCAGTATTTAGTAACACTGTACTGTACAAAGTAGTAATACTGTAAGAATTCTTAGAAATATGATTTCTTACTTACTGGGACAAAATTTATTTTTCATAATGTACTCCCTTCAAATCTAGTGGAATTAGTAATTTATTTCTTTTTGATTTAACACATGTATCTTATCAATGCAATTTTAAAATGAAGAATAGTTTAACTCATTGTTACCAAATCATTTCTACAAGGCAATTCTTGATTAATCACAGTAACTTCACTTAATACCCATTGTATTTGATAGAATACATTTACCTGTTTTAATTACAATTGCCGGAATTACATGTTCTGCAGCCATTCCATTATCATGAAGCATTAAAATAACATGCAGTATTGAAGAACATCAGCAACTTATACCTATGCTTTACCTTTGTCAGACAGGACCTACATGCTGATGATACAGCTGTTATTAAACATGTTATGAGCTGCACAGACTGACCTTGCTGCAAGGAGCAATCCAGTAAGCCATGGACAGGAACGGCAGTCCCACAGCAACAGCAAGAACAACTAGAAACTTCACCGCCATGGTCTGTTGTCGTAAACCCGACAAATTCTCATACCAAATTGAGAGGAGTTGTTGCTGGCAGTTTGGATGGGCTACAAACTATGACAAAGAAAAGGAACAAAATAAAAGGTGATTATTCTCAGTATACCACTTATTAAAATAACAGCTCTATGGAGCGCATTAAGAATGTGGGAGTAGCATCAATTCAGCTAATATTCAAAGAAGCATCAATATGGGTATATGGAAAAGTTTTTTCTGCATGAGACTAATCTCCCAGGATGTAGGTACTTTCCCATTACCAGCAATAAATCCTTTAATGTAAAAAAACACGGTATTATTGATACGGTGTTCCACCACAAACTAATAGTTTCCATCTGAGAGTAATTAGCCATCAGCTTTAGTCTGGGCAAATTCCACTTGCTTTTGACACTTATCATTTTCATGTTGCTATTTCAGATATTTTAAAACTTGAAGTCTTTTTGCCCTGCAGAGGATGCTGTATAGTCTTCAGTTATGAAAGAAAGAATCTGCCTTGTTTTCACATGCTAACATAGAAAATATCAACTTTTCAGCTGACACAAGAATACAGCTGTCATGACTGCAGGAAATCCTCGAAGAGCTGTTTATAACTTGGTGGTTCTGGAATATTACAAACAAATAAAGCAAAACTGAGAAGTCTGGACTAAACTCTCCCTTCTGTCAAAACTTCTGGGGAGTACAAGAAGCATGTTACAAAGGTAGATATTAACAGACAGCAGGATTATTTTGCACAGTAAACTTTAAGCCTAAACATAGAGTATTTATACAATGCAATATTTCACAGAATCCCGTCATTTTTCCCCCCCAAATAACTCTCCATATTTAAAAGATAACTGGCTGAAAGTGAAAGAAATGTCATTTTCAGAGAACAGGGAGGAGAAAGTGTTCAAAAAAACTTCATATTCATTAAGACCCAAACACTGTTAAGGACAAGGTTAAAGTGACATTTTTTCCTTTGGAAGTTGTTTCAGGTAACTTTCGCTTGTAAACTTGGTTTTCCAAATGTTTGTGTTGATACGCTGTAGCTGCTGATTCAAGCTGCTTTTCTTCTTCCCGTCATGAGTGCAATAAATATTGTTCACATCTAAATATTTAATATTTCGCACTGAGATGTGAACAACTATGTTCTGGTAAAAAATCTGTAACTCTTCCCAGACAATCTGGATCTGCATATCCTTTTAAGAATTTCAGTTTCTTTTACCTTTTTTTTTTTTTTCTGGCAAAATACGAGCCAGTTGTTCTGTTTTGTTTTGTTTCCTCCACTGTGTTTATCTGATCCATTCCATCGTGGAGAAAAGCTCTACCAGTTTTATTTTTTTATTTTTTGCTTTTGCTCTTCCGTCTTCCATCTTTACAAAGTAAAGTCATAAACAAGTAAATATGTGCAAATTATACATCTAACTACAGATTTTCGCCAAGCCAGAATTTCCTTACTGACTGCATACAGAAGCTACCCTATTTGCTGTTCATATTGCAAGTTACGTGAGGCAACAGCTTTTTTGTTTGAAAAACACACTTTGCAGAAGGGTCAAAATGTTCATTCGGTGGCAGGGGCTACTTAACATAAATATTTAATAATAGTACATTATAACAACACCTCACTATTTTACATTTCCGCTTGATAAATGGACTGGCTTACTTTTTTTACTTCATATTTAATGGCGAGTTTTAAGCGGCTGAGACTGGGACGGCCATGCTCTCCATTATTATGGTTCATCTCGACGTCACCATTCAAAATTGCTTCCACTTCTTCTGTATTTCTGCACAAATCAAGGAGTCCAACTACAAAATCCTTGCATTGCATAGACAATTTCTTGTAATCATTCTAGAAAATGGAAAGAAGGAAGAAAATGACTTGCTGAGCTAGCACAAGAGAAATAATTCCACATTTCAATTTCACATTTAGGAGCATCAGTCTTTTTTTTTTTTTTTTTTTGCATCTGATTATGCTGTTGTCTGATCGACTAACAGCACTTTGCTTTCAGGCAGCTGATTATGGTTGGATTCAATGATCTTGAAGGTTTTTTCCAATCATAATGATTCTATGATTCCCTGGGCATTCACAAAGAGTAGGACTCATCTCACCTTGGTATCTTGGACATCTGCAGTGTCAACATGTCCATCTGAGTTACTTCTCTAGGCTAGCTTCATAGTCAGTCAAAAGTATCAAACAGTTAGTTACTAAAATCGTATGACATATTTTTACATTTACACCAAGTTGAGATGAATAGCAAAGCATAAGTGCTTTTTCTATTCTATTGCTATTCTATTTTGCTGTTTTTTCACAGTTTAGATAATTATCTCAGATATAAAGAGTTATGCTGATATGTAGATATCTGGAACTCCACAAGATTAATATCTCATGGACAGCAGACCCTTTCTGCAAATTAGATAAATATACTGTATTTTCTTAGACATTGAAATATTCTTGCAGATTTCCTCTGAACTCCTTCTTATTTTCCAACATCTGCTGTAGCTTGCAAACACAAGAATTTATTGCTATTTTCCAGCAATAGAAACCAGTGCTGGAGCATGGAAATACCACATCTATAATTTCAAGCCAATGTTCTCATATTCAAATATCTCATGACAGACTTGGCTGTGTTAATCAGAAAGTTGCTTTGTGATTGCAGGTTCGGCAGCTTAGTGCTTTTGCTATCGGTGCTTTACTAAGTCACTGCTTTCCAAAAGGCATGCCCTTGGCTCCTAAAGCGAGCCACACACCGCAGCAGACTGGAAATACAAATTCACAAGGTCAGTTAGTATTAGAGAACTGGTAAAACCTCTCCTTTTTGCCATTATTAGATCACATGACTGAAAGGTTAATAATTGACAAAGGACAAGGCAAAAAAAGGGGTTTGTGATTATCATAATGCATAGCTTGTTAACTACTCCTTACCTGAAGCTTTGGGGGTCATAAGATATTCATATGGATAGATAGATGAGTAGATATTGATAGATAGATAGATATAGTTGATATAGATACAGATACAGACTGTTTGAGCATGGGTGGTAGACTTGATGATCTGCAGAGGTCCCTTCCAACCTCAAACATTCTGTGATTCTGTGATATAGATATAAATACAAATATAGATACAAAGCTAAGCTACAGACTCAGACATATCGCTCCAGGCCTAGAACTTTTAACAGATTCACTCATATGTGTATCAACAAATTTTGATATTCTTATAATCTAAATTAATTTTAATAAGTCCTAAAAAGATTGATTTATTGTAGGCTTCTCCCCAACACATACCCTACAAAAAAAGATGAAAAAGAAAAAAAAATAAAATAAACCACTCATGACTGCTTATGTAATGCCTAGGTTCTTGTTCAAAGTAACCTCCTATGAATGTTTTTATTACAGGGACTTATTTTCCCCTCATCCAGTCTGTTCTTCAAAGCATTCTCCTGTTCCCCCCTCACAGTATCAGTCCCTTATTTTGACTACTTCCTTCCTGTCATCCTGGAAGACAAACCATTATTCTGAGTAAACAGAATATCCTAATTTATTTGCGGAGGGGAGGTATCATGTATGTTTTTCCTTTATTAAACACAGTAACACAATGACAGGTTATTACCCAGGCATATCAAAGGCTTGCATGTGAGATCTACATTTCACTTTTTATTTAGATGAATGCAAACATTCACAGACAAATAGTTATACACGCCACAGTGTGGCCATATTTGCAAGCATTTATTTTTTCAGTTATTCAGTCTAAGCCAGATATCTCAGATCTATCATAAAAGTACAAGGAATTTTAACAAATTTTCAATACAGAGAAGATGACAGAAATCAAATACTAAGATGTACCATTTCATGTCAAGTTGTAAATTTTATGCGTAAATTTTATGTGCAAAGCATTTTTCTTGTCTTCAGAAGAAAAACTATAGAACTAAACAAAATCCTATATCCTTGGCACTGCAGATTTTTTTTTTTTTAGATTAATATATCATCTTCTCTTTGATTTACAGCTTTGTACTGGTAGATAAGGTGGTATATTGTATTTAATGTTTGGGCACTTCAATACTGAAATATTCTCCTCAAAATTACATAGCTATTTGGGAATTACAGGCAAAGGAAACAGAGAGTCGATCTTGCACCCCTTTATGACTAGATACTATAAATATAAACTAGACTGATGTCTGACAAATATCAAGCAAAAAAGAATCATGTTTAAATACTCTGAGCAACAAAATAACTGGGCCTTTATAAATAACTATTTTGCAATGTATCAGTATATCCATATCTTCTGATATGAGATACATCCACACGTATATACATGCATACTCATACACACAGTCTTTAGCATTATTTTCCATCTCTAGTGACTGAAATATGGAAGGGATTTTTAAAATAGTACAGCAGGAGACTATTTGACCACAATGATGTTTAATGCCTTTCAGTATTCTCAAATCAAAAGTCAGATATGCTAATTTATTCTAGTGAAGAACATATTTTTTTCTGAGAGTTCTTCTTTTCACTAAGCCAAATACACAACGGTCACCTTTAAAAATAGCCAGATACCTCCGCTCACACTTTGCAGAATGGTCCCATTTGAATTTAGCTTCACACAGTATATTTTAGCAGGTAGGAAACTCCTCAGCAAAACTTGCCAATTTACTCTCTCCATCACAAACACAGTAAAGGGGCCTCCCTCCTGCACAGCAGTGATCAGTAGCGCAAGCGGCACTGACGTCCCTTCAGCAGAAGAGCTGGAGCAGAGGAGACATGGGCAGCATCACCACCTGCAGCCGCAGCCTCCACTGGAAAGGAATGTCAACCTTTATTTATTTATTGTTTTATTATAAAGTCAATATACTTGCTGCAAGTTGTGGACTTATGAATTTAAAAAAGCATTCCTGAGGGACTGGAGAAAGCAATTTGCAATTAATAACTTTTCTGGGTGGTCTAGTTTTCCAGTTTGGAAGCCCTGCGAAGAATCAGCCCTTAATTCCGCAAACAAACACATGTGAGCTTTATTTTATGCATGTGACCAAGTTGGTTCAGAGCTCCTCAGCAGTACAGGACAAAGGCAAGGATGAGAGGACAGTGCTGGCTGCTCCCATGCTGCAGAAGGAAGGTGACAATTTGGACAGAGAGCCACGAAGGGTGAAGAAGCAGGGACCCAGACACCAGTGTCAGAGGTGGAGGTGGCTGCAGTAGTTTCTGAGAGGTTATGGGAATAATGGCAGCCTGTCTTGGTGTCCAGACCAAGCCAGCAATCCCTTGGATCAAATAATTTTTCACCTTCCCCCTGACCAAATCAGCAGAGGAGTGAACACACAGGGAACGAGGAGCAGTGCTTGAGACTCTGCCCTGCGTCTGGACAGGAAAATGCAGGGGTGAAGACCAAAATCAGAGCTACAGTTGAACTTGATGATCTTGAAGGTCTTTTCCAACCATAGTGACTCTATGATTCTATAACGATGTAGGATTTTGCCAGGCCAGGCATAAGTATTGGACTTAGGCAATATACAGATGGATACATTATTCCTTTTACAAATATCATCTCACCTCCTTTCATGCCTCAGTTTTTCATTGTTAAAACATGGCAATAATTTTTCTCTCTGAGGGGCATGAATATACATAATGAAGGTTCAGCCTTGATTACTGTAATGAGGGCTATATACTAATTGCAAACAAAAACAGACCTAGAGATGACAATTTGGACTATGCTTCTTCTGAGAAAAGCAAATCATAAGATTTTTTTTTAGTATTAATTTAGAGCAAACTAATAAATCTACACTTATCTTTTCCAAACCATCCTATGACACAACAAAAGATCTGTTACCATGAGAGCTGCAAACAGTTTGAACTATATGTAAATCTTACACATTTTGTGAATCCCTGTCAAAACTCCAGGCCACATCTCTGTCAGACAACAACTGTCAGATATCATCAATATCCTTCTTGACACTGTAGAGAAATTAGCTCTGGGGTGGACACACAGTTTAAATGAACTAAAACATTGATTCAATCCCCCAGAATAAAAATACTTTATATAATAAATGTTGTAAAGCTGCATAAATTAAATGGCTTCCAGCAAATCTTGCAAATTTCAAAACACTCCGCTAAGACTGAATTAGTTGTTTGCTTACTACAGAAATATTTCTACCCTCTGCTTTACACATCTGTCTAGTTATTCTGCCTTCATAAGAACAATATCTGTGACCAAATGCAACACCATTTGGTGACGGGTGACACTGATACAGAGTCTTGATGACTCAAAGTACTTTTTTTTTTTTTAAGAAAATAGTGGTTTCTGATTATTACAATACTTCCTACCTTGTATGAAACACCTTTTCATATTCAGTTTTATTTCTAATATTAATTGCTGGTATAAGACAGAGAAGTTGGTTTTTAGATAGTCATAATTCCATCATAATTCAGTATCAAAACTTTTCATTGCCTCTGAGTAAATCTTCTGTATTGGAGGTTGCTATATGCACTCACTAGCAAGCTCTTTGAAACAATACTCTATCAAGACTAAAAAATATACTTATTTTAAAACAGTATATTGCCAACAAATTCAGTCTTTATATAAGCAGGGTTATACATACTTTAAAAGGCTCAGGTAAACTCTAGGTGGAGCTAAAATAAAGACAACAGTCATCATTCCCTGCTCCCTGTAAACACAACCTTTGTGCTGTCATCACTGGACCTAAGCCAGATATTTTTCAGTCACACCCCTATCCTGTCTAGACATTGTAAATGTTATCACCCAGGAATAGTATAAATGATATCACTCATCAATGCATGTATAAATGTACACCTTTCTGTGATATTCATCCAGAATCACAGAATGCTTAAGGTTGGAAGGGACCTCTAGAGATGATCTAGTCCAAACCCCCCTGCTCAAGCAGGGACATCGAGAGTACGTGGAACAGTGTGGTGTCCAGGCAAATTTTGAAGATCTCCAGAGAAGGAGACTCCACAGCCTTTCTGGGTAGCTTCTTCCAGGGCTCTGTCACCCTCACAGTCAAGAAGTTCTTCCTCATACAGAGATTAGACTTCCTAATTTTTAATTTATGCCCATTACCCCTTGTTCTGTCACTGGCCACCACTGAGAAGAGTTTGGCACTATCCTCTCTACATTCTTCCCACATGTTAATCAGATCTCCCCTCAATCTTCTCTTCTCTAGGCTAAACAGGCCCAGCTCTTTCCTCATAAGATAGATGCTCCAGTCCCTAAATCATCCTCGTGGCTCTACGCTGCACCCTCTCTAGAAGCTCCACATCCCTCTTGTACTGGGGAGCCCAGAACTGCACCCAATACTCCAGGTGCAGCCTCATCAGAGCTGAGTAGAGGGGCAGGATCCCCCCCCTCCACCCCCTGGCAACGCTCCTCCTGATGCAGGCCAGGATCCCGTTGGCCTTCTTGGCCACGAGGGCACATTGCTGATTCATGGTTAACCAGAACCATGGTTGTCAACCAGAACTCCCAAATCCCTCTCCTCAGAGCTGCTTTCCACCAGGTCAACCCCTAATCTGTCCTGGTGCCTGAGGTTATTCCTCCCCAGGTGCAGAACCTCCATATGCTTTCAGTGCCTACAAAAATGTTCAAGAAACACCCTTAGCTTGTCAGCTGTCTGCTTCTGAAGAAATGTTAAATTAATGGAGACTTAAATTTCTGGCCATTTCTGTGTTGCCAAGTGCTCCTGTTCCTCTATGTTCCCATTCAGTTTTGGTCTACTCTAAAGAGCATGTCTGCCCCCTATTAGACCTTGGCTGATTTATGCTCATCTATATGGAGCTGTTCAGTCTCTTCTCTAGTCCTTTGTTTTTGATAAGTGACGATGTCTCAGAATCTTGTTGCAAGTCTTTATATGTCACTACGCTACAAGCAGAGTTTCTAAGATGGAAGCTTCTAGGATTGAAGGAAGTAGAGATTTTAGAGAAGAAAGCTGAAACAAAAGAGGAACTAGAAGTCATAGAGGGATGAGCGAGGTCATGCACCCTCATCATACATTATTGTGGGCTGGAGAAGGCTGTTTTCCAAACCAGTCCATGTTTTCTTGCATGTGTCTCATTTCCTATCCTGGTGACACCAAGGACAAACTACTGCGCTTCCAGCTCATCTTTCCAATTGTGTACTGCAGCATACATTTGAAGATACTTCTTGCTGACATTTGCAGATGGTGATTTTATTTACCTTATCATAATCTTTACTGTATGTCTCCAACTGTGGTAAAAGAAGTTATACAGCCACTACAAATCAGACATGGCATTTAATTCAACATTGCAGTGAATTTAACAGGCAGCATTTATGAAGTATAAAACATGTTTTTCTGTTCTGTTCTAAATTTACTTCCCTTTAAGTTAATCAAGTCCCTTTGTCTGTATCTTCAGCAGCTGCTAAATAGAAGGAAACAGAACATGTGGTGTAAATATTCTTTTCTGAACTATATATACAAGCATAGAGGTCATAAGGATTTCTGTCAATGACTTCACTACCAGACTGGAGATTTAGACTCATTGAAGGAAGAGCAGGTTAGGGAACACTCCTACAAACTGCACATACACAAGTCCATGGGACCTGATGGGATGGACCTATGAACGTTGAAGGAACTGGTCAATGATATTGCAAGAACACTCTTGAGTATCTTTGAAGGTCATGGCAAGCAGAGTTGGTTCTGGAAGGAACTGGAAGACTGCAAATATCTCCCCATTTTCAGGCAGGGCAAAAAGGAGGATCCGGGGAACTACAGGCTTTGCCTTGATGCCTGGGAAATGATGGAGCAACTAATCCTGGATATGATTTTCAGACATACAAAGAACAGAAAGATGATTGAGAACTAACAGCATGAATATATGAAGGAAAAATCATGCTTAACCAACCTGATTGATAGCCTGCTTCAATGAAATGTCTGCTTTGGTGATAAGGAGAAAGCGGCAGATACTGCCTACTTCAACTTCAATAAAGCTTCTGGCACTGTCTCCCCAAGTTCCTCATAGACAAGCTGATAGACTACAGGCTAGATAAGTGATCGGTGATGTGGCCTGAAAACTGTCTGACCTGATGTGTTCAGAGAGTTGTCATCAGATATCTTCATTAATGACCTGGATGATGAGACTGAATGCATGTTCAGCAAGCCTGCAGATCTTATAAAACTAGGAAGGGTGACTGATAATACTGGATGGTTGTGTTCTGATTCAGGAGGACCTTGACAGACTGGAGAAATTCCTCAACAGGAACCTCATGAAGTTCCACAAGGAGAAATGCCAAGTTCTCCATCTGGCACCATTACAGACTGGGGACCAACAGACTGGAAAGCAGCTTTGCAAAGCCTACAGGGGTGCTGCTGGACAACAAGTTGACCATGAGCCAGCAATGTGCCCTTGTGGCCAAGGCAAATGGTATCCGGGGCTGGAAAAACATTGCAGGTTTAAGGAGGTTAACTGTTTGCCTCTCCTCTGCACTGATGAGACCACCTGGAGTGCTGTGTCCCATGTAAGAGAGGGATGGACCTGCTGGAGCGAGTACTGCAAAGCCACAAAGATGAATAAAGGATGGGAGCTTCTTTTATAAAAGAAAACACTGAGAAGGACAGCCTGGAGAAAAGGCGGCTTGGAGGGGATTTTATCAATGTGTATAAAGATGGCTATGCTGAGCCATCTCCCCCCCTAGCTGCTCAGATTGAGCTTCAATAGCCATAGGTTTGAAGTTCATATCCTGCCTCCCCCTCTATACTGCCTGACAGGAAATGGAAAATGAGTTCACTGGCACCTTCTACCTATACAGCATGAATTAAGATCAGAACACAGCAGTAAGAAATTCCCAGAGATCTAAATCCTCCATTCATTAAGTAAATACACATTTATCCATATTATCTTGCTAATACTATCCAGGGAACAAAAGAAAGACCTTTATTGGAACTTTATAACTCTGCGCCTGTTAGAGCTGATAGTCTTCTATAGAACTCACCTTAAATTCTTTTTCAATGTTGGCAAGCACTGCCAACTCATTGCTGAGTTCTAAGGCAGTCATTACTGGGTCTTCACTGGACAAAGACAGATAAGCAGGGCTGGCCAGACCTTTATAGGCATTGATTCTGGACCTAGAATGGCTGAAAGAGTCATGCTTTTGCTTTTGATTGCATTCACTGCACTTGCAGAAATAGTCATGTGGCCTATCAATCCGAGCCCCTTTCCTCAGCAGCGTGTGGACAATTTCATACTCATGGCAGTGAGCAGCCAGAATGATTGGTGTAACGTCATGGGAAAATCGTGTTCCATCTTCATCATATGCATAGAAGTCATCATGTTGGAGCTCTGACTGGCTAGGACTTAATGCAAGCCTCTTGCCTTCAGCAAATGCAGGGTGATTTAGGATGGCTTCTACTATCCGAACATAACCTTTGCTAATAGCCAAAAGCAAGGCATCCCCAACTCGAGACAGGTTCTCCTTCTTCAGCAGAAGTTCTGTGATCTCCAAGTGCTCATTGGCAACTGCCAGTTGCAAGGCGTTCTGTCCCATATAGTCCACACAATTTACGTTGAGTGAGGAGCATTCTTCCAGCATTTTACGGATCACTGGAATATTTCCATACTCTGCTGCATCCAAAAAGCGCTCCTCTTCAAGTGAAAGACTTGTTGAGCGGTCATTAAACATATATGCAGGCCCTCGACTGGCCTGCCTCCTGCCCTTCTCCCGGAGAATGGTCTGTCGCCGTAGTGCTAGCCTGTTCTCATTGCCTCGGCTGTGTAGAAATAGAGAAAATAAGGGAATTAACTTGTGGTATGCAAATATGTGCATTTTAAATAATAATTAATACTGGCATGTTAAATAATTTATCTGCTGCACCTACTCTCCTGTAGTAGGAAGACCAGAAAACCTGACCTTGCTGCACTTTGTAACCAATAGTCACCTATATTTTATTTCAACAACGAAAAACAGTTAAATCATCAGTTAAGACTACACTTTTTTTTTTCCTGGGGTACTAAAAAGATCTTGCTTACTTTTATTAGTCTTATTGCCAACATGACACCAACAACTATCTAACCTACATTTTGGCTCATGCATCTCCTCTTCCTGTTCTTGACATTTTTTGACATCTACAGCTAAATTTTCAGCTATAGATAAAATCTACACCATAAACATATAACTCCACTGCCCTTTTAATTTTACAGTTTGCAGCTTTAGTATCTAATTCCTTCCACTCCATGGCTTGCTAAATTTTCACAGTTCTTGCTTGATAAGATCTCTGAAATGGGAACAGGAATGTCTCTCCTACTGACTCCTCATTCACTTCTTACCTAACTCTTGATTATTAAAACAAAATATTAACTACTTCAAATAGGTTGTTCATACTAAATTTGCTGAGAATCGCTGAAATGTCTGCAGTGTTTTTCAGTGTAAAATGTGCTATACTCTTTTTAACAAGAAAAATATCTAATTCATTACTCAGTCAACTAAAACTCCAGAAATTCAATTGCAAATCATTTTTTCTCCTAGAATTACTCTGCTACACTACACAATATTCACTGTAACTTCATCTTTCTTCTTTTTGAATGGTTGCTTAATGATTCTTTACATACATATGCTCACATATATTTCAGTATTTTCAATATTTTCCACAAAATAACCAAAAGGAATTTTTTATTCATTAGATAATATTTACTAATGATTATAAAATTAAGTATTTAAATGACACAATCAGAAAAATATATCCTTTGAAATGTGAATCAAACGTCTTTGCAAAAAATAATGAAGTTGGTTCCCTAAACATAAATGGCTTAGATATTCAGTGAAGTAAACCCTGTGGTCAAAGATTTTAATCAGCCTTCATGTTTCTTGAGTCTTGCAGATCTTTGAAAAAAAGTAGCCATGTAAAATTATAATATTTTGACATAAATCCTTTATCTAGTTGACCATCCCCAACACATTTTCTTCATCAGATTCTTTAAGGATTCCTTATGAATAAATCAAAATAGAAAAAAAAAAAAAAAACAACTTTCTTTTCACAGAATCACAGAATGGTTGAGGTTGGAAAAGACCTCTACAGATCACTTAGTCCAACACCCCTGCTCCAGCAGGGACACCCAGAGCACAGGGCACAGGGCGGCATCCAGGCAGGTTTGGAAGATCTCCAGAGAAGGAGACTCCACAACCTCTCTGGGCAGCCTGTTCCAGTGCTTTGTCACCCTCACAGGAAAGAAGTTCTTCCTCATATGGAGATGGAGCTTCCCTTTTATTTTCCAGATATGTCTGGTCTACAAAGTCTTAGTGATCTCAGATGGAATTCTGTACATATGAGATACATTTCTTAATTCTTATTGCAGTGAATAGAGATTTTCTCAGAATAATTCTGTAAAGAAAGATTCAGCTGATGAATATGTCTGTTGTGGAGTGAAAAAGTCCTCTTTAGTTCTTTTGACTGTGCTGACTAAATCTCTACTGAGAATAATAGACACCTGGGGCATGACTCAAGCAGCTTTAGCTCACTTGCGTGTTGCTATCCCTGTGCCTTTTCACACCAAGGTCACCCAATGGGAGCAGACCAAGTTTCTCAAGGCTTTATACTGTCAGGTCCTGAAAACCTCCAAGACTCCACAGCCTCTCTGGGCAACCTGTGCCACTGCAGGACTGTCCTCACAAAGGAAGGAAGGAAAAAAAAAAAAAACCTACCTATGTCCAGCTTTTACTTATTTCCACTTTTGCCTGTCATGTCTCATTTTCCTACCATGAATCACTGTGGAGGACCTGATTCTGTCTATTCAGTGACCTCCCTGCAGGTACTGTCAAAAGCCATCTCTGCTCCAGGATGAACAAGGTCAGCTCTTCTAGTCTTTCCTCATAGAGCAAGTGCTCCAGCTCTGCATATCTTGGTGACCTCCACCTGACTTCGCTCCATTTTATCAATATCTTATATTGAAGACCTCAAAACTGCATGCATTATTTCAGATACAGTCTAAAAAAAGACAAGTAAAGGGGAATAATCACTTCCCAAGACTTACTAATTGCACTCCAGTTGATACAGTCTAGAATGCTGCTAGAAAAACGTAAATTTTCTGGTGTATTTGTCAGCCCTGTCTCGGGTACTCTAGGGCACTTTAAACGAAAGTAAAAGTTAAGTGTCATATTTATGCAATGAAGCTGAATGCACTCCCACAAATTGACACACTTCAAAACATATATATAGATATCTAAATTAGATGTTTTAATTTAGAACTGAATCTCCATCACCATTGTCAAAATTCTGCAATGCTTGGGAAAAAATATACTTTATATAGTGAAATTAACTAGAGCTATGGAAAAAACAATTCTAGTTTTGGGAGGAGATATTAAGTCTTAGACATCTATTAAATGCATGATTCTACCAAATTTACTTAAATGTGATTTGCTTTTAGAGTTTTATACTAATTTAAAGTTTTCTATTGCAACAGAACAAAATTTAAAATAAATATCAAAACTTAGATTGTTTTAAAGACTTTTGACAAATGTGACATCCTGATAGTTCACCAAATTTTGAATTGCTGCTCTTTTTTTAAGAGCTACTTAGAAAAGTGTACTTGGTTTAGACTATTGTAAGATATATCAATTTGTTTAATTAATATTTTTGTATACAGCATTTTAATGACTGCTAATATTCTTTCTTTGGTGCTTTTTACCCTTTTTCTGCTTCACAGTGGTGTGGTCTACTGGAAGTTAATAAAACATTAAGATTAAAATATAGTATCACAGGAGGCAACCTTAGCAAGTATGATTTGGTCAAAAACAACACTTCTGTATGAATCATAGAAACATTATGGTTGGAAAGGACCTTTAAGATCATCAAGTCCAATCGTAAACCCTTCAACACCACGCCTCCTAAACCATGTCCCTAAGTGCCTCACCTACATTTCTTGAACACTGCCAGGGGCAGTGACTCCACCACTTCCACGGGCAGCCTGTTCCAATGTTTCACTACTCCTTCTGTGTAACTCCTTCCTAATGTGTAACCTGAATCTTCCCTGGCGCAACTTGGACTGTCAGTAGTTATTTTGGAGAAGAGATCGACCTCTGCCTCACTACAACTTCCTTTCAGGTAGTTGCAGAGAGTGATAAGGTCTCCTCTGAGCCTCCTCTTCTCCAGACTAAATAACCCAGCTCCCTCAGCTGTTCCTCATAACCTCTTTTCTCCAGCCCCTTCACCAGATCTGTTGCCCTTGTTTGCACACACTCCAGCACCTCAATGTCCTTCGTGTAGTGAGGGGCCCAAAACTGAACACAGTATTTGAGGTGCAGCCTCACCAGCGCTGATTACAGAGGGACGATCACTTTCCTCATCCTGCTGGCTACACTCTTCCTGACACAAGCCAGGAGGCCGTTGGCCTTCTTGGCCACCTGAGCACACTGCTTGCTCATGTTCAGTTGGCTGTCGACCAAGACTCCCAGATCCTTTTCTGCCATACAGCTCTCCAGCCACTCTGCCCTGAGCCTGTAGTGCTTCATGTAGTTGTTGTGACCGAAGTGCAGAAATATAGGTAAGAAATTTGACTTTTAAAAGTGACTAAGAAGAATAGTTTTAATACTAGTACAGACAAATATAGCAAGCTCACAAGATTCGGCAATCAAATAAGGGAAAACTAGGATACATATAACAATGAAAAAAAAATTTTTTTTTCCAAGCTCCAGTTCTACAGTTCTTAAGATTTATATTTATTACTAGCTAGCTAGCTTTCAAAATAAATTTGCACTTTAAGCTAAACACTGTCCTGGTGACATTTTGTGTTATGTTTGACAGAAGAAGAAAAGTTTCTCTAATAACCTTTAAGAAAATATTTGCTACAAAATACTCATAATAATTCAACTTATTATAGTTACATGTAACTATAACTGTGTCTACATCATTTTTGATCGCTTTGATATTGTATAGTCAACAACTTATTTACCATACTTCATTTTCCTACTTCTTTTGGAGTAGGAGATAAAATATGGTGTGAATTCAAGACAGCTGAGCAGTCCAGGGTACCACAGGATGAAAACATCCATCTCTGTCTGAGAAGTCACCAGGCAATTTGACTCTTGATGTGAATAAACTATCTATCTACTTTTTTTTTTCAGACTATCAGTTGCTCAGTTTTGCATTAAACAAATTAATTTATATCAATATAAGTACTACTTCAAAAACAGAACGAAAGTTTTATTACCCAAATTAAATTTATTTATTTATTTTCTGTGTTTATCACGGTGTCATAGAATTTATAATAGAAATGTAATAGCACAACAGGTTGAAGAGAAGATAAATCGCACATTATATAAGTTTGTGATTCCAGTACAGCTAATGAAATTAAAGTAAGAATTCTATTATACTCTGGTCAATTTTGAAACTATGTCACCACTTGCAGTATATTAACTCCTTCCTTACTTCACTAAGAAGTTACCGTGCTCAGATAAAAGCCACTGTAGTTGTTAACCCTTACTCAATGTGAGTTTTGCAACTGACTCAACTGGCAGAAGTAGACCATGACTAAAGTTAACAAATGGAGAATCGATCTTTAATCCATTTCTTACTTTTAGCATAGTTAAGTTTTTGAGAGATTGAAGTTAACATAAACATATGCCAGCATATCAACTGCTATAAGTGCCTTTTCCATGCATCAACTCATTCTTATCATGCTACTGCAATTTTCCCCTTGGTAGTCTCTTTAGTCTTGAAGATGTTAATATGCTTAATAAAAGTAATTGTAACATTTCTCGCCATCAAAATCTAC